TATGTAGCCTGATTAAAAAAAATACTGTGAACAAACGTTATCAGACAGCAACATACCCACTTTCAACTCTTTTCCGAAGACGGTCCTCTCTCCGAGCGCAGAGCAGTTCCAGCGGCCGGTTTTGAACTGAAACTGACACTCGTTGATGCCCATTTGGACCCCCTCTCCGATGACGATAATGGCATCGGGGCGACTTTGGCAGATAATCCGTTGTCTGGGAGCCAAACCGGGGATCTTGTTACAGATTATACTCGCACCTAGGGCCACCACCGACGAAAAGCCACTGCGAATGGAAGACGGAGAAGACCCCAATCAGGCTTTTTTTTTTTTTTTTTTTTTAATTTAAATTCTATTATTTGTCTAGAGTTTATGATTTAGTTTCACATATTTCTCCTTGAGAGAAACGCTTCCAGTTTTATCTTTTTTTTTTTTTTACACTGACGACATCCAGCGCCGTTACGCGTCAGCGCTCCTCACCAATGTTCCATTTTTTTTTTAAATGATTAAATTAGCCACCTGCTTTTGATTGTCATATAAAAAGAAACTGAAAGCCATGCCATTTTTGTGTGTTGTTGCTAAAAGTTGTAGGTTCTGGCAATGAATAGATAAACGCAGCTCACCCGATTTTCAAGTAAACAATCCCTAAACAAAGCAAAACTCTTAAAATCCAGCGCCGTGTTCTCCGACTCATTGCGGCCCAGCGTTCGGTTTCATGCACCGATCTGCAGATGACCAAGTCGCTTCTCTCCTGTTAGATCTGCAGATGACCAAGTCGCTTCTCTCCTGTTAGATCTGCAGATGACCGAGTCGCTTCTCTCCTGTTAGTCTCCGCTCCGGCTCAGCGCAGGTAACTCCAAAGGAAGTCCAAAATGAGGAAAAACATTAAGAAAAACCTGTAGACGCTCGAGGTTTTATTATAAATAAATATATATATGTATATATATATATATATATTACAAAGCATCCAAAACTTCCTTTACGTGCCCCCCCCTCTGGCTTGGCCCTCCTGTCATTATTGCGGGGGTGTCACAGGTAACTCTTGGGGTGAACAAGTGCGCTTATCTGTTTCTCCCAGTTCCTCAGCTACCCGCAGGTCTTGGCTATATATCTGCCTCATCTATCTGGGGCGTGTTCACAGGAGACATGGGGCCCTGCTGAAGAATCCCGCCAGGGCTGAATCTTAACGCGCGCGCACGCACACACCTCCGCTGAGAATTCACCTTGACGAATCGGAGCTGCTATTAATTTGGTTATTAAGTGAGTCAGGGTGTCACGCGCTCATGCGTTTGTTTCAGTTAACAGCGTGTTTCCACACTTGCCAAGAAACACAAAGCAAAAGCCAACTATAATCATTACTTTAATTACTGAATAATGTTATGTTCAAGTCCAGACTCAGACTAGATAAATACCGTGTTTCTCTCTAAACTTTAATTTCACGACGCATTTGAGGACTTTAACATGTTACGTACTTGTTAAATGCCTCAACAAATAAAAGACGAGTAATTTATTTTTATTTTTATTTATGCCCCTTACAGTAGAAGTTGTCCTCCTCTTGTCGCATCTTTGCGCAACATCAGTCCAACACGGAGCCGCCTGTCTTTAACACTGGCGACATCTAGTGGTGAATTACTGTCACTGCAGGCTGTAAACCCCACACAAATATCCGGTTTGTCCCTGATTTATTTCCGTAGTTTTTGTAAAGCGTCGCTTTAACTTTGTTGACAGGAAGCGTTGGGAAACTGTTGTCAGTATGGATCCATATCCCCTCGTTAGTGATTGTCTTATACATATTTTTACATTTCTGACCGAAGACGATTTAATCAGCGCTTCGAGCGTGTGTAAGGTGAGGTGTGTCTGCTTCGCGGAAGTAGTGTTTCTTATCTGAATGAAATGTTTTCTTTTTAAATTGGATGTTTATATTTTCAGAACTGGCACGAAGCTGCAGAGACTCCCTGGTTATGGAGGTGAATCATTGTCTCTTTCTGTCTTTTCCAACATCAGTTCATGGGCGAGGCGAGGAGTGTGTAAATAACACTGATATTACTAGTTTTTAAAGTGCTCAAGTTATTGAAACCAACATAGACCCAAACTTATATTTTAATCTCACCTCCTCCGTCAATATAGGCTTTTATTATAAGGCTTTTATTATAAGGCTTTTATTATAAGGCTTTTATTATAAGGCTTTTATTATAACAATGTAACCAGCCGCAGCACTGACCCACTGGCTCCAATAAACAAATCAGTGTTTCTCCCTGACCCCTTGAAAGAACAGCGATTGTGTTTAAATCAGAATTTTATCATAACCAAACCAAATAAAAAATGCATTGTTTTTTTTAAATTCTGTATGCTTTTATATTCAACCAACTTTTAAAGCTGGTTTAGTATGAGGAAAATCACTGGGCCAAAAAAAGTGTTAAGACCTAAGTATATATATATATATATATGTTTTTAGGTCAATGAGTGGACTGCGTCAAAGCAATTTATCATCAAAAAGCACAGCAGCACATATACCTGTCCAGAGGCGTTTAAGATTTCTCTCTGTGTAATCACATTTTTAACTGTCATGTCACTTCATTTATTGTAATAAAATTCAATTCATTTTCAATTCAGTTTATTTATACAGTGCCAAGTCACAGCAGAAGTCATCTCAGGACACTGAACCAGGGCCGGCGCAAGGAATAAGCAAATTAAGCGGCTGCTTGGGGCCCCAGGGCCACTACGAGGCCCCCTAAGTGGAAGCACAGGGTTTAGGAAGTTTGTGAAGTATTGAGGAAGAAATAACATAAACAGGTCAAATGTGTGGGTAAAGGTTGTTTAATATTTTAAGTTCAGCTTTTGCAAATTGTTGCATACATTTACATAGTTTTAAGAAATAATTATTCAAATTTAATAAATTTTTTTAACCATTTTACATGGTTTCAAGTAATCCTTCATTTATATTATTTAAGTATTTCCTTGATATTTATTTGTTTTTATTTAATTTTGTCTGTTTTTGCACAATTTAAGTTGTTTTATCCGTTTGTTGTCGATCTTGCACTACAAATTATTTTGAACATTACTGTTGCAGTTCTTTGGAACCAAAGATAATAAACCAGATGACACTTTTGCTGTAAAATACATTGAATACAGGTGTTGTTTTTTCTTATTTTGTTACTTTTAGTACCACACATATAGGTTAATGTAAACAGGGCTGTCAGAGTTGCAATGAATGATCTGATCATGTGACTGTTGATTGCAGTAATCCACATTATTAGCAGAAATAAAGGGCCCCAAACCTAATTTTGCTTAGGGCCCCATGGAGGTTTAGGCCGGCACCGCACTGAACAGAAACATTCATATATATAAATAATAATTTAACATTATTTATCTGAGGAGCAGCTTTGAATTTAACTCCATCACAAAACTCTCATCTTGAGCAAACATGAAGGCGACAGTGGAAAGAAAAAACTCCCTCGTGAGGAAGAAACCTTTAACAGAACCAGGCTCAGGACAAGCGGCCATCTGCTTCGACCGGCAATAGATAACAGAAAAAAACGATAACCGTATAAACCGTTTTTAATGTGTTGTGCAGCCTTGACTCTGACCAACAGATTAGTTGTGGGAAGGTGTGTGTGAGGTGGTGGAGAGACAAAGATGCAAACGTTTATTCATTCGTTCTTCTCAGGAGGATGTGTCTGCAGCGCTGGAGTTTCTGCAGCCTCGCTGCCTTGGGGAGTGAAGAGTCATGGAAAAGATACTTCCTGCGACGCGCCCAGCTGGAGCTGAAAATGACCAGAGGTCAGTGCGGAGGTTACACCTGCAAAAGCCTACGAGGACACTCAGGTATGCGTTCACTTTCTATGCAGCAAGAGTTCCTTACATGACTTCATGATCCCGTTCCTCTGATCCGTGTGCTGCACGTCCCGTCCATCAGGCAGGGTGGTGGGTTTGGCGTACCTGCAGGGGAACTCAAGCCAGTGTCCTAATGTCTGGAGCAGCAGCGCCATCGTCTGCAGCGCTTCTTCTGATGGTACCGTTCGAGCGTGGAACGTCCAAAAAGTCAGTGCAGCATCTTCCCGCCAACGGTTAACATGTTGAAATGTGTTTGTTTGTGCAGAGAGTTCTTTGTGTTTTGCTTTTAATCAGCCTAAAAGTCGTATGCTCAATGATTTGTCATTAAAAGCCTGCCCAACACCTTTTCACCTTCAGGGTGAGCTGGTGTGGTGCAGTCCTGTGCAGGGTCCTTTAACAGGGATTGTGGTGGATGAGAAGCAGGAGGTTGTGGTCACTTCAGACTCTACCGGCCTCATCAAGACGTGGCAGGGCTCCACCGGCCTGGAGTTGGCCTCCTTTTCTGTGGCTGCCTCTCACTGTACGTTACTGCAGTACAACATCAACACTGACTGGTTCCTGACTGTAAGTAACATCAGCGTCTCTTTCAATGTTTTTAAAGACCATTTATTAGTGTGAATAGTCATCATTCTTTGTTAAATCAGGTCTCTCTTGTAAATGAGTCCTCGAGGCTCGATGGGATTTACCAGTCTAAATAAAGGTTGAATGAATGAATAATAGTGTGAATGTTCATGAAGCATTCACACTATTGAGATCCATTTTTCTTCCATACGTTTTGCAGCATCTTTCTCGTACCACTATTTTTGTGCTAGTTCAACAAAACATAAATCAAAATGTTCAGTTCATCAGGAGAAGGGCGCTATGACTTTTGGTATTGGTGCAACTTTAGCTTTTTGAAATGTTTAGCCTTTTCTGCCACTTTTCTTTCTCATAGAAAATGAATTGAGCTCATCCTTAAAATCTTTTACAGACTTTTACTGCTCCTTTCACATTTTGTTCTGATTCAGCTTCTTTCAGCTTCCTTGTGCAAATTTAATCATTTTTCAGCAAATTTCAGCTGTTTTGTGATCCTTTTAGATTATTTCTGCTAGCTACAACTTCTTTGTGCTTTTAACTTCTTTTGGCTAATTTTAGCTTGTTATGTTCCTTTCGGCTAATTTCTGCAAGTTTCAGATTTTTCTGCTATTTCAGCTACTATTTAGCTCTTTTTTGCTATTTTGCTGTCTGCAAATTTTACCATTTTCTGCTAATCCCACATTTTTTGCCCTCATTTCAACTTTTTCAGCCTAATTCAGCAAAAATGTGCTCTCTCCACTTCATACTTCTAATCTAAGCCTCTTTCTACTTTTAAGCTACTTTTCAGCTGTTTTTTTTTTTTTTTTGCTTATTTCAGCTTTTTTCAGATAATTTCCACCTTTTTGTGCTCTTTTCTGCTTCTTTCAGCCTAATTGGGCAAACGTGTTCTTTCTACCTTCTTCTGCTAATTTAAGCTTGGTCTACATTTTCAACTACAATTAAAATAAAAATTGTAGCTAATTTCAGTTGTTTTCAGATGGGTTCAGGTTTTTCGTGGTAACTGCTGCTACTTTTAGCCAAAATAACTTTTCTCTGCTAATTTCAGCTTATTATGCTCCTTTCGGATTTTTCTGCAATTTCAGCTTATATTTTGCTGTTTTATACTAGTTTGAGCTTTTTCAGCTAATTCCACATGTTTTAGCTTATTTCAGATCTTTCCACTTCCTTCTAGTCTTTTAAGCTTCTTTCTGTCTTTTCAGCTAATTTCCAGCCTTTTGTTGTTGCTAATTTCAACATTTTTAGCAGATTTACTATTTTTTGTGCTAATTTCTGCTTATTTAAACCTAATTCAGCAAATATGTGTTCTTTCCACTTTCTTCTGCTGATTTAGGCTTGTTCTTCCATTTCATCTACATTTCAGCATTTTTTAGCCAATTTTAGCTGTTTTTCAGCAAGTTCTTCTGCAATAAGCATTCACACTGCATTTTCACAGGAAATGCAATTTCTCTAGTTGTCATTATTTTCTCTTGCAGGTTGGAACTGCTCAGGGATCAGTGTGCACATTAGCCGATTCCACTTTGACTAAAAAGTCCAGTTTGATGATGTTTGACAGCTTCAACGTCAACGTGCTTCTAGTTTCACCGGACAGGAAATGGATCTTAGCTGGAACCAAGGAGAATGATGATTTAAGTCCAAAGGTATTTGACTGTGTCTGCGTGTTGCTGGAGTCGCTCCGGTCTGCTCCTGTGTGTTTTTCTATTACCACATGACCTCTGTGCAAATAATTCAGTCAGATGTTCACACGACAAAGCATTTTTAAGTACATGTGTCATTTGGTTTGTGGCCAGGTGATCTACAGCGAGAGTTTGACCTCTCCGCTCGAAGACGAAGACCCTCTGAGTCAGTCCGTGCCGGTCTCTGGATGCCAGGCGGCTGTCTTCATACCCACCCAGCCTGCCAGACTGGCTGTCATCCACCACACCGGGCACAGGGGCAACAAAGCCCTCACTGTCTGCGATGTGAGCATAAAGAAGACGAAGTACAAGACAGAGATCCAGGGTGAGGGCTGATGCGTATAATCACTTGGAAAATACTTCTGAACCCAGGTTATTAAAAAAAGGCCAGTTGGTGAGTCAGCCTGGGAAATTTACTTGCATCTGCAGAGACTGTTGAGAAATCTGCTGGAATTTGGACTTTCTTTTTTTTTTTTTTTTTTAGCTTTTTCATTGTATGCAGAAGACTTTTAATACACAATGAATAGTGTTTTTAAATAGCAGTGCACATACCAGGAGCTCCACTTAAATCAACCTCACTTGACCTGAGTGCTGACAGAGGCCTTTCAGATCCACACTCTTAACTTTATTAAAACTGAGAAGCAGGCGTCTCATTGGACGCACTTAACTTTCACTGGACATACTTCCACCACATGTGGTGGAAACAATATAGTTGACGTGAACTTGAACTTAAAAGTGTAAAGTATTTCCAAATTATTGCATGCGTGAGTTTCCTCCCACAGACTGAAATCATGCATTTTAATCAAATTGATAACTTTAAAAATAGTCCCTAGAGCAGAGGTGTTCATTCCTGGTCCTTTTGGGCCACTATCCTTCATGTTTTAGCTGTTTTTCTGCTCCAGCACACCTGATTTAAATCAATGAGTGATTAACAGGCTTCTGCGGAACATGAGGATTAATTCAGCCTTTGATTCAGTTGTGTTGAAGCAGGAAACAAGTAAAACATGCAGTATAGTGGCCCTCGAGGACCAGGATTGGACACCCCTGCCCTAGAGTGTGAATGGTTGTCTTGTGACTCTTTTTTCTGTTTGCAGTCCAGCAGGTGGAGTCCTTCCCTTTGACGCTGAACGACTCCTCAGGAATCCTTCTGGAGGCCAGGAGCAGCAACTGCATGGTGCTGTCAGCTGGGTGTCAGCTGTGGGTGTACTCGCTGAAAGGAGCCCTGCTTGCTAGTTTTCAAGATCACACGGAGCCCATCTCTTCAATTTGTGTGGTAGGCTGGTTGTCGTCTGAGGCTCAGGGAAATATCTCCTCACCTGGTCTTAGTTTCTGGGGGTTCGGAGCAACATCTCTGTTGTTTCTCTGCTGTTTTCAGGGCTGTTTCTGTGTGGTGACAGCATCTCGGGATCTCTCGTTACGAGTGCTGACGTGGAGGAGCGACAGAGATCAAGGACTGACCCTGGAGAGTCGGTATCACTTACTGGGAGGCTCTCACTCGATGTCCAGGTAGAGACTGCTGCGTCATGCCAGCATCTGTAACGCATCATGAGTAGAGCTATGTTTGACAGAGTACATAACATCAACATAAAGAAGATGACAAAGTGTCTCTGCGTTGTTCAACTGAAGCCAAACGTCCTGGTTCATGGGCGCTGCCATGTTGTATTTTAGGAGCCAAAGTCTTACTTTTGTATTACTGTAAAACTTTATGTTTATTTTTAATCTTCATGTCTTCTGGAGGGAATAAGAAAATGATAAATAAACTGTAATTGACAATAAAACTCCAAAAACCTTTTCAATGATGCACTTTACCCATCATATATGAATGCTTTAGCCTGGTAACATATTTATTGTTAACTTAATTGCATTTCTTGTGAAAATGCAGTGTGAATGCTAGTTGCAGAAGAACTTGCTGAAAAACTGCTGAAATTGGCTAAAATGGAAGGACAAGCCTAAATTAGCAGAAGCCAGAAAGAACACATTTTTGCTGAAATAGGTTTAAATATGCAGAAATGAGCACAAAAATTAGTAAATTAGCTAAAAAGGCTGAAATTAGCAACCCCCAAAAAGCTGAAAAGTAGCTGAAAAGGAAGAAAGAAGCTTAAACTAACAGAAGGAAGTGGAAGGAGCTGAAATGAGCTAAAAAAATGTGGAGTTAGCTGGAAAAGCTTAAATTAGCATAAAACAGCTATATAGTAACTGAAATAGTAGAAAAGGCTGAAACTTGCAGAAATAAGCTAAAAGGAGTGTAACAAGCTGAAATTAGCAGAAAGAATTTAGAAGAAGCACAAAAATGTTGTAGTTAGCCAAAATAATCTGAAAGGAGCAGAAAACAACTGAAAAAACTGCTGAAATTAGCTGAAAAAATGTGTAAATTTGCACAAGGAAGCTGAAAGAAGCAGAACAAAATCTGAAAGGAGCAGTAAAAGGTTGTAAAGAGATCTAAAGATTTGAAGGATATAACATTAGCTCAATTCATTTTCTATGAGAAAAAAAAGTGGCAGAAAAGGCTAAATATTTCAAAAAGCTAAAGTCGCATCAATACCAAACGTCATAGCGCCCTTCTCCTGAAAGAGCTGAACGTTTTGTTCTATGATTTGTTGAAATAACTGTGGGATGAGAATCGTGCCAAAAATGTACGGAAGAAAATCAGACCACAACAGAGTGAATGCTTCATAAACATTTGCACAACTAGACATCACAGAACATTTCAAAGTGCACAGATTTTGACCCGTTAGGCTTTCCATACATCCACGTTTCTACACAACCGCAAAAGGTAAATAAAAACTATGTGCGCCGGCTTCAGAATGAGAGTCTATGCTTGACTAATGTTGTGTTTTATTGCCTAATATTTTTGTGCTTTGTCTTTTCTAGAGGGTTCACTCACGTCGCCTGTGACTACTCTAGCATTGTGGCCTCCGTGGAGGGGAATGATGGAAAAGACGTCCTGAAGGCGTACTCATTCACATCTTGATTGTCATGGCCCTACGGACATGGTATCAACTAGTTTACACGAATGAACTGATCATTATACTCTGTAAACTTTAAATAAGATGTTGTTGGTTGAACCATATCTACAGATTTTAAACTAAAGGCAATAACCTGTGGGAATGTGTTTAAAAATGCAAAAGCTGTACAATAGTCTGTATGTTCTGTATTTGTGCTTTCAGAGCAGAGGTATGTATATGATGAATGTAACTAGGCTTAAGGCAAATGTTTTAAGGTGTATTATTAAGCTTAGCTAACAGACATAGCTTAAAGCATAACATTTGTGTCACAAGGCACAGCTTTTTTCCTATAAAGTCAAGTTGTATTTGTGTCATGAATAAAGGAATTATGATCTCTGCTCTTCTCCCATGGCCACAGATCTCATGTCCTTAAGGAGACTCCTCAGAACGGAAGGGAGAGACTCGTAAACTTTCCTCCCGTCCTCAGTATTTATATTCATCTGCCAAAATACAAACAGGAAAACTTGGTTAAACAATTGCAATAAATTTAAATGTATGCCAAAAGGCAATTCATGTTTTTTTGTCTTACCCTGGTGAAAGCTCTGATGGTACGCTGCAGGAATGCATTTTCAACCTCCTCTGAAATCTTCTGCATGTGAGCCATGCAGTCCAGTATGCATGTTAAGGTTTCTTTAGGAGCCTGAGAAGAAATGGCACGATGATTAACTCTTTGTTGGCAGGCATGTTTGGTCCCTTTCTCTGTGTTTAAATATCTCACATCTCAGTAAAATTTAAAAATACTGAGCTAAACTTTTATATGGTTGTAGCTGAGAGTGCTCCTCAACACAAGCACTGGCTCATTGTGCATCACATGAGATTGTGCATTTCATAGGCCTGTTGCGATAAACAATAAATCAATTAATCGCATGATAAATTAAAATGAGGTTGCTAATTTTCATTTATTGGCTTTATTGTTTCTTCATGTCTCTCTCTTTCTACTGAAGACACTGGATGACAAAAAGGCTCTTCGCTGACCCCACCCTTTCTCTTTCTCCTCTTTAAAAAAAACTGTTTTTAACGATCCAAAATCACGTTTTTGGATCGTTAAAAGCAGCTAAGCTGAGAAGCTAAGCTACGAGCTAAGCTAACAGGCCGACCTCGGGGGGAAAAAAACCTCCTTCTTGTCAAAGCTCCAAAATTTATGGTTGAAACCCGTGCCTTCGTCTAAAAACTTGTTTTTCGCTACAAAAAGAAGCTGAGAACTTGTTTACTGATTTTTTTATTTAAAGCTTTGTGTGTAAAGTGCTATGCTAAAGAGATCAAACCACACCAAATGTCCGCCATTTTGAGAACTGAAGAGAGACAGCCCATGTCACATCAAGGGGCCTCCCTCCCATTTTCTTAGAGACGCGCTGCTCGCTCCCTCACTATCCATCCTTCGGTTCAAACAATCTTATACTGCCATCCAGTGGTCAAAAAAGGTACCACACTCAAAACAAATTAACCAACATTTCTTCTTAATTTAGACAATAATTATTAATTATTGTCAAATTTCAAACAATATTATAGTTTATCACAATAATTTCTGACACAATTAATGCCCAGCTAAATTTGTTATCATGACAGGCCTAGCAGTTCATTCATACTTTTTGACAGAAATATTGACAAATCTGTTGTTTTTCATCATAACAAGATCTTCGTTTAACTCTGGCATTCAGGTCTCTCTGATAAATGAGTCCCCGAGGCTCAGTGGGACTAACCTGTCTAAATGAAGGTTGAATTAATGAATTAAAGGGCAGCACGGTGGCGCAACTGGTAGAGCTGCTGCCTCTCAGCGAGCAGGTCCCTGGTTCAAACCCCGGTCCAGGGGCCTTTCTGGGTGGAGTTTGCATGTTCTCTCCGTGCATGCGTGGGTTTTCTCCGGGTGCTCCGGTTTCCTCCCACAGACCAAAAACATGCATGTTAGGCTGATTGGTAACTCTAAATTGTCCCTAGGTGTGAGTGAGAGAGTGAATGGTTGTTTGTCTCGTTTGTCTCTATGTGTCCCTGTGATGGACTTGCGACCCGTCCAGGGTGTACCCCGCCCCTCGCACAGTGATTGCTGGACATGGGCACCGGCGACCCCCGTGACCCAAAATGGAATAAACGGGTAAAGATAATGGATGGATGGATGGATGAATGAATTAAAGGCTGGGCGATTGGCCCTAAGTGGTTCAATCTGATTGGACCTCTGACCTGGCCGAGCGTGTTTAGGACAGGCTTGGTATAGCCGATGTCAGGATTCAGGGCTTCGGCATCTTGGAAGGAGATGACGGGCTCTTTGAGCTGCTCCAGCCAGGCCCACATGAGTCCAGTGAGGATGAAGGGATCTCGTTCCGTGCACAGCCGCTCCCATGCACTGCCTTGATTCAGCTCTGCCTGCACACATTCAAGCGTCAAATCATTTCATACTGAGTCAAAATGAATGCTATATGTAGTGTTAGTACTGTCTAAAGGGGCAGTCTGTATCAACATCAAGTTTATACACGTTATTTTAGCAGGTTAGTTACCTGCCAGACCAACACTCTGTTCTTATGCTCCTCTTGCCCATCAAGAAACAGGTCCACTGCCAGTGCCTGTGCCACCAACAACCTCCTGGCTTCTAGAGACAACTCCGACTGCAAGGTGATGCAGGGAACCTCCGACTGCTCCTCTTTGTTTTGAAACGTCGCCCCGTTTACTTCCAGCTCGTCTCTCTGCGCTGCCTTCCACCTCACCATGCGTCCCTTTTCGTCTGATTTATCGTTTCCCACTGACTCACTGCGTTGCACTGCTTCCCTCTTCGTCTTCTTCAGCACAGTTGTTCCATCATTTTGGTTTTCCACGTTCTTGATTTGCCAGAGGGTACCAGTTGAGCTGTGGGATACATCGGATGTGCTGCTGTTCTGATCTTGACTCTGGGATGCGGGGAGGTTGACCTCGGAGGTAAATGAAGAGGTCAGAGGTTGTGTGAGAAGGTTCAGCTGCGAGCCCAGCCGCCTCAAGTCAGACTCGCTGTAGCTCAGACTTTTGCGGTGGTAGAAGATGGGCGGCTCGTGGAAGTGTCTGGGTAAGGTGGGAGAACCTGGTAAACGAGGCTCCTTGGCAAATATTTCAGGCCCCATCTTCTCAATTATATTGAGAGTCATTTCTATGTCATGAACATCAGGAGCTTCAAGAATATCCTCCTCTATCACCTCACGATTCTCTGCAATGTCCACCAGCAGCCTGCAGACCAGATGGATAATTTTAGGCAGGTGTCTCAGCTCCTTTCTCTCATTGCCATGCAGGATATGTCTCTGACGGTTAAGGTACTGGGACAGGGTGACTGGGTTGGACTGAGGCTGAGCGCAAGAGAAGACACTTCTCAGGGGGTTAAGGAACTGAACAAAGTCTCTCACGGAGCGCAGCTGGCCTCGGGTTTGAATTGAGCTGGGCCGTTTGGCACGTACATATGAAATAGCTTGGTTAGCATTCATTCTGGTAGAGTAGGCCAAAAAACATGCTAACAGCACACCTAGAGTTGTAAGAGAAAGATTTTTACTTTGTGTGCAGATGAAAAATCGGATCTATTTAAGTTGGGTTGGGAAGATTATGAACAATAAATATCTTACTTGTTGAGGATAGCAATTTGAACAACCTCAGTTTTAGAGAAAATGTTTAATTCTGACCAGGTTAGCAAACTAGCGGTTAGCTCAAGAGGAGCGAAGACCAAACAACTCAAATCTTAAAAATTTCAAAGTGGTTCATGTGAAACACCTTTCATCACCTTTTACACCTACACCACCATCAGCGTTGCATTGCACAGTTATTCCAGCAGAAATATTATAATATGCCTGCAGGAAATGAACCAGGCTGCAACAGAAGTGCTCCAGCAAGATGCTGCTGTTATTTACAGTTTCCAGAAAAATGACAACTATTTAAATAACCAACATTAAATTGATGCTAAAGCAAATGTTCATAAAATAGTGGTTGTGTGCTGATATTAATTATTTTTAGATTGAAGTTGTTTTAAATGGTAAATGGACTGGACTTAAACCTTATCAAGATACTAAAAGCACTTTACAGCCTGTGCCCTCATTTACCCATTCATACAGCACTCTGCTATATTTATACAAAGATTAATCAGTGCTTTATCACATTCATGCACCGATGAACACATCGAATGCAATGAGGGGTTCAGTGTCTCGCCCAGGGACAATTCCGCATGTGACTGCTGGTGGAATCGAACCCCCAACTCTCCCATTTGAAGATGAATGCTCTAACCACTCAGACACAGCCGCCCAATTTAAGAATGCAGCAATCCACTTTGGTCTTGGCATCACTTGGACTAGCTATTACCTTTAAAATCTGATCAGAAATGACCTTATTATTTCAAATAGATGACGTTCAAAGAACTGTATGAGTGTAATGGTACAGCTATGTCATGGTTTAATAAGCACCTCTGCATGAGGGTCATAGTTTGGTACAGGTTCTGCACAACAAGAAACACAACTAAATGCTAGTGTTTTATTTGTTATACACACACACACACACAGGTTTGTTTTGCTATCTTTATGGGGCCTTTGCATTGACTTCCATTCATTTTTCATTCATTTCTATAGCCTAACCATGACCTTTATCCATAACCTAACCATTACCAGTACATACCTAACCCTAAACCTAACACATCCTCAATTCACACCTTAGTCCTAAACCTAGCCCCTAACCCACCAACGGGACTTCTTCTTATGGGGCCCGGGCTTTGGGCCCATAAGGAGCAGTTGGTCCTCACAATGCAGTATAAGTTGGAAAAATGGGCCTCACAAAGTAGCATAAACAAGGACACACACACACATATATATATATATATATTATATATGTTTAATTATATATATTTATATATATCACCCTTCCTACTGGGCAGAGTCTAAGATAGTAGTTCATGTAAAACATTGTAGGGTTTTGAAATAGGTTAAAAAAAATTCACTGTTCTGTCTTTTTCACACAGTCTGAATTGTAAACGTTTGATCAACTACAGAAACCTTTCTGTTCAGATTTTTCTTGGGTTATGAATATATTGCAATGCAAAGAAAGAAAATAATTAAAATACAACAAAAGTCAAGAAGTGTTTACTTCAGGTAATTTGACTTCCACCTGATGCAACATAAGCCATTGTAGAACTGAATAACATCTCCTTAATGTCAAAGAGCAAAATAAAATAAAATGGTAAAAACTCATCTATAATTTCTCAGCAATTGAGTGCTATTGTGGGAAAAAAGTGGAGGTACATATGGAGTAAAGTACACTGGTTTGTATTTACAAGATACAGACATGGCAGCTTAAGTACCATCTTGTCTGTACTTGAAAGATACATTTTTAAGGTATATATTGTATAAGGTACAAGAAATATTACTTTAAATTTTTTTGGTACATTCTTATCTCCCCTCTGCTGCAACTGTCCATGATCACTGAGCCCACAAAGTTCATTATTTAAGCTTCTGCATATTTTCAGAAATATTAATGCTTTGTTTTATTTAGCGTGTTTGAGAAAGTTTTTTTTTTTTTTTGCCTCTTCTGTCAAGGTTATTGCAAAATGTATTTAAAATGTACACCTGCTTCTTGATGGGAGGTGATCAGCTGTGACCGATGTAGTTCCCTGAGCATGTCTGTAGTAAACCACCAGGGTACAAATACATGTACAATTACACCCCTACCGTCTACAATGAGTAGGATATTAATTAATCATAATCTTCCAGAAAACCCCACTTTAAAATATTTTAACTAAACGTCTTTAGTCAAAAACACTCACCACATAATTTCAAAACCTACCTGTTCGTCCGAGGCCCGCGTGGCAGTGGACCGCCACCTTTCCCTCCTGCAGAGCAAAGGCCATGACCTTCACCATGTCCAGCACTCTGGTGAGGTTGGCCACGCCGTAGTCACACCAGCCAAAATTGTAGAAATAAACTAAAAGTTAAACACATTTTGAGCAAGTTTTGTTAAAAAAACAAACTAACTTGTATTTATGGTTAATATTCCTGAAAGTACATACTGTTGTTTTTCATGAAGACTTCTGGGTGGTATGAAAACCCACTCTCTGGCTCCAGAGGTTTTCCACAGAACGCATGTTCTCCGGGTACTTGCAGGTTGATCACAGTTTTAATACCGTTCCTTAATACAAGCAGAACACAGAACGTGTCATTCTCGTGTTTTCTCCGTTTTCCTAAAAAACTTCTGGCAGCTGATGACCTTAAAATGAGAAGTAAATACCTTTTGAACTGATCAATAACGTCATACTTTTCAATGATTTCTGTTGAAGGTCTGGACATGGCAAGAAGATGGTCAGTAATCCTAAAAGAGTGGAAAAACAAACAAATCAACATTGTTTTCACCAAAGTTCATGATCAATAATCCAGCTTTAAAGTCCACCAATGTCCAGTCAGGTCATCTGGACTGTTTCTTCTTTTACTGAGATGTTTCATCCTTCATCCAAAGGACTTCTTCAATCTGAGGAGCCACCAAACAAAACTGATTCTCACAAACAGCATACTCCATAGTGGCAAAAACAAACAAAAAAACAGTTTGCTGGTGCTAAAATGGCCTCCGGGGCCCACCCTCTCCCCCGTCAACTCGTCGGAGGCAGTCATGCCAAAGTGGTTCAAAACACCAAAGTTCATGCTCAATAATCCGATTAAAGAAGTCCTTTGGATGAAGGACGAAACGTCTCAGCAAATGAAACCGTCCAGATGACCTGACTGGACATTGTTTTCATTTCTGCCAACATTTTTAGTTCAAACTGAAGAAATCACGAAAGAAGGACGCACCAGGATGAATAGAGGCCTTTTATGGCCTGCTGATCTTCACTCCAGTAACACGGATTGTCAAACTTGCAGGCTTCGCCTCCACATCCGTATGAGCATTGCATCTGAGCAGGGAAGATGTTTCGTACAGCTTCTCCTACTATTGTGTATTTCGCTCTGGGGGCTTTGACTGCATTATAGGAGGGGACAAGAAAAGAACATGACTCTTTAACATAAACAGCTTAAACCAACAACATGTTTTACTTATGAAACCAAAAGGTCAAATATTGTATTTCAGATGCTTTTGAAATTCTTTATAACGTTTTAGACACAGCTGTAGAACAACTCTGAATTGGCTCCATCAAATGTAGGTTGTGCTGTAACGCCTGACAGTTAAGATCATCAGCAGTGAGGCACATTGGCTGCGTCTAATCCTCTCTTGGCACTGCATGTCCACTGTTAGGGCATTATGGTAAAAATAGCTACTTGTCTGCTTGAAAAGCACTGTAACAGGATATTTTGGTGTAGTAAAAGCACAAATATAGCTTGGCAACAACTCTGGAGACAGTAAAAGGTACATTTGGTGAAAAAATCATTGCTTATCTTGACTTACTGTATTCCATCAAAGACCCCCCTTGTATCTTTGCATGAAATGCCATGTGAAGCCTCACTCAGGCTGACTGTCATAGCAGAGCCTGGGAAAATAAACGACCTTCTTACTGTTACTGTAAAAATGTCTGGACGAAGGACATTTCAATCACGTTAGGTCAACACAGTTCAAAGCATTACCAGATGATTATTCATGGCAGGTATGGATTCAGCATTAAAATACAAGTTTAACTTGGACAGCATGGACAAACTGAAATCAATTTAACAACAAATACGTCTCACCAAAACGATCTCAATCAAGATGGCTCACCTTTGGAGGTTGAGACGAGATGCTCTTGTGCTGCGCCGCAGAAGGTAAATAATTTACAGCTACAGTTGCAGGCATTTCTGACGCCGATCCTCAGAGCTCTGACGCTGTCCCCTCCTCTCTGGCTTTGTGAGAAGTCAATCCTGTGACCTTATTGGTGTCAGATTATCTCAGTGCGTTGAGGCGGCACATGACGAGGAAACAGTGGATTCAGTGCTCCTCTGTTCGAGACCTTGACCGATCCAGTGTGGATCAGATGGAAAAGTGAGATTTGGCTGTTTGTGATGAGCCCCATGCACAGGCTCCTTTAGTCTCACTTATGTCTCACTCCTTCCAGATTACACCACTAATCTTATAATGAACAAATTAAATACTGACCCCTCTACAAAATCTTGTACAACTGCCACATTAACGTCTTCCTTATCCACTGCATGTGAGTTTGATAAATTCATTATCACCGTTTATCAGCTGACCAGCAGTCTGCTCAACCAGACAGATGTTTGACTGAAGAGCTTGTGTTTAGAACAACGGTTCAGTCATGGGTTTTAATTTCTTTGTGTCAGCACACTAAAGCCTACCTGTCCTGCTTCCACTCATCGTCATCGTGTCGTAGCAAGAGGGTGAAATCTCGTTAGCTTACGGTCCACCTCACTAAAGCTGGTTTACTTCAGGTGAGCAGGGCAGACATCACTTTGTCATGTGAAGCATGCAGTGAGCTCACAACCCGTAATCCTAATGCAAATCTGAAATGTTGTGGTCCAATATATTCAATTTATTTATATTTGTGTTTAAATGCGTCAATCAAAACCTGTAGGTTTACAATTCAGTTCTGTCCCATAAAATCTAAATGTGTCCAGTTCACTTAACTTGTATTCAATTATAAAACATTTCAGTATTGTCAAGTTCAGAATACCAGGGTTAATAAAATATTACAAAACAAACATAAAATGCCAATTTTTGATTTGAAATGTGGCCAGTATGTCCTCCAACAACTTTAGCGCATAGCAGCATAACTAAAGGGGTAGCTCAGGATAATGTGAGACGATTCAAACAGTAATAAAAAAAAAATGTGTCAGGGCCTTCATTTGTGACCTGTTGCAACGTGACTGCTGGAGATATAGGCACCAGCTCACCACGATTCAGAATGGAAAGCTAATAGAGAAATCATTCCACTTTAGGTTTTAGTGCACTAATCAAAAAGCATTTCTTTCATCTGTTGCACTTATTGAGCTGTGTGGTAAACTTTGACATGTTAGAGCCTCCACGAGCTGCTTTTTTACAATCAGCAGAAGATTAAATAAAATTGCCCACTTAGGTGAAAACTGCAAAACCACACAACAAAATACTCAGTTATCTCTGAATATCATGAGATAAAACATTACTCAAGTTGCAGTAGAAGCACGCTCTCGACAATGTGTAAAAATAGAAGAATAACAATAATACATGATGTGAATCCATTTCAAATTTATAAAACAATAATCTTTGCTTCAATGTTTTTATGAAGGCATTAACAAATATGAATGATTTTAAACAATACTTTTACTTTTAAACCACTGGAATAGAATAGTTTCACTAGTATTATCCATCCATCCATCCATTATCTTTACCCGTTTATTCCATTTTGGGTCACGGGGGTCGCTGGTGCCCATGTCCAGCAATCACTGTGCGAGGGGCGGGGTACACCCTGGACGGGTCGCAAGTCCATCACAGGGACACATAGAGACAAACGAGACAAACAACCATTCACTCTCTCACTCACACCTAGGGACAATTTAGAGTCACCAATCAGCCTAACATGCATGTTTTTGGTCTGTGGGAGGAAATCGGAGTACCCGGAGAAAACCCACGCATGCACGGAGAGAACATGCAAACTCCACCCAGAAAGGCCCCTGGACCGGGGTTTGAACCAAGGACCTGCTCGCTGAGAGGCAGCAGCTCCACCAGTTGCGCCACCGTGCTGCCCCACTAGTATTATTATAAGATTAAATAATAGGGAGTGGTGGCTCAGAGGTTAGAGAAGGTGGGCCTGTGATCAGAAGTTTGCTGGTTCAACTCCCGGTACCAACAACATCAAAATGTGACAGGTGAAATGCCCACACCTGCCTCCACCCTCACTTGCCTGGGCCCTTGAGCAAGGCCCTTACACAATCTGCTCCCTCGGGCATCCCATCTCTGCTCCACACACACATATATATATATATAAAATACGTTTTTTAATGTGTGGCTGTGAATGTTTACTAATATTACAAAATAAAAGAACCATGGAGTCTAACCTGCACTGTGCAGCTTGAGTTACTCAACAAAATGAAGTTTCAACATTGGGTACTGTAATTCGGTCTGAAACTGTAGGAGAAACATCCTCCTGGATTAACTTTGTGTAAAATATTCGTGAAAATATTAAATCAGACTTTTCCGACAGGTGGCAGCAGATAGAGGCCCAGCAGCTGCTTCAGAGCCTTTCTGTTTCAAACAACAAACCGCTTGGTGCGAAGATTTCCGTACTCCACATAGACATGTCAAATGGCCTTATGGGATAGTGAGTTGTTTTAGTGACTCAGGCCGCCATTTGTTCTCTACAGTAGGCGGTAAATAAACTACATTTCCATAGGAGCACTGACAGTGGGCCGGAGCTTTCCCAGCTGATTGCGTAGAGAGATGTTTGATTTCAGCAAATGGGCTCATCCACTGAAGAGGCGCGCCCACAGCCTGTTGAGCCCACGGACTGAAACTGTGGAGTTACCGGAAACGAAGCACCTTTGTTTCAAAATAAAGCAAACACGTTGCGATTTCTTCAGAAAATATGAATGTTATAAACATTACATAAACGTTACATGTAACCTGTGTTATTTTTATTTGTCTTTACTCTTATACGCAAACATAACTATCCTACGTAAGCTCAGAGCGTCAAATGTATTTAATTTTACTTTTATTTTGAAAGCACAACGCGGAAACAGTACGTCTCTTCTTCCGCTTTGCTGTGTGTTGACGTTTTGGACTGGGGCCGTGTCACTCCCACAAGCAGCGGGTGGAGAGCTGGAGAAAACGGCCGAGCGTAACGATGGAGCATGTTTAAAAGATAACAGCGGGTCGGTCAGCGAAGAAAATTAAACAAAGTCCATGACCAAAGAGACAAGACCGGCCACGAGCAACGCAGACCCGACAACCACCATGCAATTCAAATACAGACGAATTTGAGCAACGGCTTCTTCTTCTTCTCCGACTTCTTCAAGGTTAACACCGCAGATCAGCTGGCGTGCGTTGAACCCCCATCATGTCCGTGGAGGAGCAGGGTTTCCCCGACGCGATGCTGCTGCTGAAGGCCGGGCCCGAGTGGCTGCGGGCTGAGGTCGAGCGTCTCTCCCGGGAGCTGACGGAGACCACCAACGAGAAGATCCAGGCTGCGGAGTACGGGCTGGCGGTGCTGGAGGAGAAGCAGCAGCTCAAACAGCAGTACGAGGACATGGAGGTGGAGTACGAGGCCGTGAGACAGGAGCTCGACCAACTCAAAGAGGTAGTTTCATAAATCATTAAATATCACAGCGCCACATTGGACTGGTTCAACCAAACATCACGCATTATTCTTGCATGTTTACAAAACTATATATATCTATATATATATATAGCGTCTCTCCCGGGAGCTGGCGGAGACCACCAACGAGAAGATCCA